CTCCGGGAGTCCAATTGATCGGGTGGAACCATCCAATTTTTCTTTAATCGACCAATTTACCGGTTTACAACTTGCACTGATTTTATTAACTCAAGCCTACCATGAAAATTTATGACAAAATATAATGGCCATTAATGAATTTCAAGCGGCATTATATGAACCCGACATGTATCCTCTAAAATCTCATTTCTTTTCAACACCGAGCTCTGAAACCTTCGAAATTTCTAAAAAAGCGTGGATAATTAGCCTTCAATTTTGGAATTTTTTGACTTTTTTCGCCCAGAAATAAAAATTTCCGAAATGTATACCATGGTCCCTAATACTCCACGGGAGTCCAATTGGGTGGGTGGAACCATCAAATTTGCCTTTAAACAACCAATTTACCTATTTACAACTTCCACCGATTTAATCAACTCAAGTCTTCCACGAACATTTATTACAACAAATAACAATCATATATGGTTACAAACGACATTATAAGACCCCGAGACGTATTCCCTAGAATTTCAAGACTTTTAGAAACCGGGCCCCGAATACTCCAAAATTTCTCAAAAGCGTGGATATTAGCCTTCAATTTTTGAATTTTTTTAACTTTTTTCGTCTGGAAATAAAAATTGTAGAAACGTTTACCATGGTCCCTAATACCCTGAGGGAGTCCAATTGGGTAGGTGGAGCCATCCAATTTGCTTTTAAACAGCCAATTTACCGATTTACAACTCTCACCGATTTCAATATTTCAAGCCTATTACGAACATTCATGACTTTATATAATGATCATCTATGGTTCCAAACGACATTATATGACCCCGAAATGCTTCTGCTAAAATCACAAGACTTTTCGATACCGGGCCCCGATACCTCCATAATTTCTCAAAAAGCGTGGATAATAGTCTTCAATTTTGGAACTTTTAGAATTATTTTCGCCCGGAAATAAAAATTGCCTAAATTTTTACCACTCTCCCTAATACCCTCCAGAAGTCCAGTTGGGTGGGTGGAACCATCCAATTTGCCTTTAAAAGGCCAATTTACCGGTTTACAAATTGCACCGGTTTCATTAACTCAAGCCTACCACAAACATTTATGACAACATATAATGATTATATATGATTCCAAATGACATTATATGACCCCGAGATAAATCCCTTAAATTTTCAAGACTTTTCGACACCGGGACTCGAAATTTCCATAATTTCTCAAAAAGCATGGATCTTAGCCTTTAATTTTGGAATATTTTGAAATTTTTTTCGCCTGAAAAAAAAAATTTCAAAATGTTTACAATGGCCCTTAATACCCTCTGGGATTCCAATTGGCTGGGTGGAACCAACCAATTTGACTTTAAACGTCCAATTTACCGGTTTACAATTCGCACCGATTTCATTAAATCAAGCATACCATGAACAATTATGACAACATATAATGAGCTTATATGGTTCCAAACGACGACATTATATTACCCCGAGATGTATCTCCTAAAATTTCAAGGCTTTTAGACACCGGGCCTTGAAACTCCAAAATTTCTCAAAAAGATTGGATATTAGCCTATAATTTTGGAATTTTTTGACATTTTTTTGCTTGAAAATAAAAATTGTCTAAATGTTTACCATGGTCCCTAATACCCTCCGTGAGTCTAATTGGGTGGGTGTAACTATCTAATTTCCCTTTAAACAACCAATTTATCGGTTTACAACTTGCACCAATTTCATTAAATCAAGCCTACCACGAACATATATAACATATAATGATCATATATGGTTTCAAACGGAATTATATGACCCCGAGATGTATCTCATAAAATCTCAAGTCTTTTCGACACCGGGCCTTGAAAACTACAAAATTTCTCAAAAAGCGTGGATATTAGCATTCAATTTTGGAATTTTTTGACTTTTTTTCGCCCGGAAAAAAAAAAATTGCCGAAATGTTTATCATGGTCCCTAGTGCCCTCCGGGTGTCTAATTGGGTGGGTGAAACCATCCAATTTTCCTTTAAACGACCAATTTACTGGTTTACAACTAACTTGCACCGATTTCATTAACTCAAGCCTACCACGAACATCTATAACAACATATAATGATCATATATGGTTCTGATCCAAACGACATTATATGATCCCCAGATGTATTCCCTAAAATCTCAAGACTTTGTGAAACCGGGCCCCGAAACCTCCAAAATTTCTCAAAAAACGTGGACATTAGCCTTCAATTTTGGAAAATTTTGACTTTTTTTTGCCCGAAATAAAAATTGCCGAAATGTTTATCATGTTCCCTAATACCCTCTGGGAGTCCAATTGGGTGGGTGGAACCATCCAATTTACCAATTTACAACTTGCACCGATTTGCCGGTTTACAACGGCCAATTTAATTAACATGCATCGAACCCGACTTGAACCGAAATTGATCCAAACCTGTTTTAACTCGTCTAAACCCGAATTTAACCCGACTTGAATTGTTACTTACCTGACCTGAATTCAACCCGACCCGAAATTGACCCAACCTGTTACAAACCCGACCCGAAATCAACCTGGCTTGTTATTGACCTGACTCAAATTAAACTCGACTTGTTATTGATCCGACCCGAATTTTACAAGACCTATTATTTACCCTACCCAAAAATTTAACCCTATTTGTTACTAACTCGACTCTAAATTAACACGACTTGTTATTGATCCGACCTAAATTCAACCCAAATTATTCTTGACACGATTTCAAATCACCTTAAATGAAACCAACCCTAGACCTGAGTTGACCCGAGTATGTGAGACTTGAACATGAACATGGACTGATTTGGAGATGACCCGACCCGTATGTAACCCGTTAATTATTGACCTGAACCAAACCCGACTTGAACCAAAATTGACCCAAACCCATTTTAACCCGTCAAAACCCGAATTTAACCCGGCTTATTACTAACCTTACTTGATTCAACTCGACCCGAATTTAACCCAACTTGTTACAAACCCGACCCGAAATAAACCCGACTTGTTATGAACCTGGCCCAAATTCAACCCGACTTGTTATTGACCTGACCCGAATTTTACAAGACCTATTACTAACCCGACCCAAAATTTCAACCCGATCTATTACTAACCCAACTCGAAATCAACACGACTTGCTATTGACCCGACCTAAATTCAACCCAAATTGTTCCTGACCCGATTTCAAATCACCTTAAATGCAATTTAGGCCACCTTATTGTTGTTGATCAAAGCATTTTGTCTAGGGAGACTAAGTCGGTCCAGCCAGCAAAAGAAAGGAGCATCATCCTCAAATTTAAGAGTTAAAGATAGTATATATTTGTTGTATGGTTAAAGCAGATAATTATCTTCCTAAATTATATTCTATAGTTCCCTAGTATATTGCCATATATATTATAGTCAACGGAAATAATTAGCTTGATAAAAATGATAATTATCTATTTATAATTAGTTGAACCCGAATATGACCTGACTTGGAAATCACCCGACCTGATTATAACCTGCAAATTATTGATTTGAACATAACCCGATTTGAATCTGAGAATGACCCGACGTGGAAATGACCCAACCTGATTATAACCCGCAAATTATTGACTTGAACCGAACCCGACTTGAACCCGAGAATGACCCGACTTGAAAATGACCCAACCCGATTATAACCCGCAAATTATTGACTTAAACCGAACCCGACTTAAACCTGAGAATGACCCGACCTTATTCTAACTCGCAAATTATTGACTTGAACCGAACCCGAGAATTACCCTAACCCGTTTTAACCCAATAAAACCTGAATTAAACCCGACCTGAATGTACCCCGACCTGTTACTAACTCGACCTAAACATGATAAGAAGTATGACCCGACGTGATCTGACTCAAGCATGACCCAATCCAAACCCAACCTGCATAGGTTATGGAATTAATTCGAATTGACCTGACCCGAGTTGACCCGACCTACGCTTACCCGACCTACGCTTACCCGACCCGTTTACCCGAATTGACAGCTGTCGTGTACAGTACAAATAATGGGAAATAATTAAGTCAAACATAAGATTCTTTGAATCAGCTCAAGATTCCAAATTCATGTGGGGCCTACAAAATGATCAGCTCTCACAACCGTTGGATGAAGGCTCCACCACCATTAGATCTGACGTACCTGATCATTGATCAATCAGTGATCTAACTGCTAAAATCATTGATGATCATCTAGTTTACAATTTAATTTATACAACTGTAACATTTCGCTTTCACCAAAAAAGTTTAACTTTCTTAAGGTGAGATAGCTTATCTCAGCTGATACTTTCTCTTACAATATGGTCCATATTCATAGTCTAAGAAAATTTGGACTAAGACGGCAATTGATATCTTACACCCAAGTATATGGAACAATAACACGCATTAATTTGTAGGTGAGTGTGGCTTCACGTGTCAAATTGTCAATACTCAATATATGTTGTGCACACGCTAATTATATGCACTTGTACATTAAAGTGTGTTCGTTTCAATTAAAGTACAACTGGTTGTATGATTTAATAATCGAACCAAAACCCATAATATTGATGAAGGACTCATCTAGTTAAAGAGCATATTATATGGATGAAGATTGGGACCCAAAGGATAAATCCCCCTTTGCTTTGTCTAAGTGATGGAGATGAATCCAAAGAGCTAAGCTACACTTTACGCAAAGAAGGTGGGAATAAAATAATGCTTCACCAATAAAGAAATAATTCTGAGCCTAAGAAATAAATAATGAGCTTAAGTAATCATACTTGTAGAAAGTCACCACATTAGGTATGGAAAATGAGGCTACAATAAACCCTTTTAAAAGTTCTGTAAAGCAATTCCACATGAATCTAATTATTCTTTTTAACTTGCTCCTTCCAAAATTAATTTCACGAAAAAAATCTTGTCTATTATTCGAATCAATATATGCAAAATAACATACTATTTATCACCCAAACATAGATTACATCGACTCAATAATATTTCAAGAAAAATTACTATTTTAGTAAAGATGAAAACTTTTCCATATATTTCAAAATAAGGGTCTATTTTATTCAGCTTAATTTCTATTCAATTCAGTTTCGTTCCTAATTTCTTTCTCTCATAACAGATCAGCTCAGTTTTTTTCAGTAAATCGGAATAGGCCCTAAGTGTACATATGACTATTAATTCCAAACCGAAAGAATGATTACCTTATGATTTAAGTCATTAACCACCAACTCTCTCCTCCAACTCTTGTATTTCTGATCTACTAGTAGCTAGATCAGTTGATTGTGAAGACCGTTTTCTGATGATCAGATAACCCCACTTGAGTTCCCATTTTATGGTCCCCCAAAAAATTCTGCATATATAAATAAGCTTTCATAAAATATAGCTTGGACCGTTTTAGTTAAGGACCCCATATCATATGGGTCACCCCTCCATAACCATAAGAACAACCAACAATTCAAATACCTGCCTTTCTATCACAAAAATATCCTTCCTTTTTGTAGTATAGTCTTGGATTTTTTCTTCCCCTTGTTTTCTGAATGTTTATGCATAATAATCATGTCAGATGCATACTTGGTGTCAATAATCTTGGTTAGCAGCTTATCATTGACTTGGTTTGCTGCTTTTGGGTCTGTCACAACCCCTCCAAGGCCGAAAATCAACCGGTATTTTCGGTTTGATGGGAAAACAGACAGTTGGGTGCCTGTGGAACTGCCTTATGATCTGGTTACTTGTATCAATGGTAATTGTACCGTTGTAGGTTCTATCCGCCAAGCACCAGAGAAAGGTGAGAGTCAACCGAGGAATGGTGATAATACAGGAAGGAAAGCAAATAAGGAAATTTACAAAAGACTTTTACCTTTGAGGAATCGCGTTTCTTTGACAAAAATGTCTGATGCATCAGTCTGGATCACCGGTGAGAGTGGGTCAATCTATGAGAGATTCTGGAATGGTGTACAATGGGTGATTGCTCCCCACGATTTGCCTGCATCTGCAGAGCCAGCAACATCTGTGTTCTTTGTCAATCAGACTATTCTTGCTCTTTCTGAAGCAGGGTATCTATATCAGGTACAGTTCTGTGAGTGTATAATAAGACTCAGATATATCTAACAATTAGGTGACAATCATTATGTGAATAGACTGCAATGCTCTTTTATATCAGGTGAAAATTTGAGAGCTATGTTACTCGAACTTGGGTATTGGTGTCAAACATTGATACCACTCCAAGTGTCAATTGTCCATACATATGTTGGATATTCGAGGATCTGACATGGGTACTTGAGGTTGAATGAGAGTCCGATTAGTATAATTTATTAATACTAGGTTGGTCTGCATTTGCTTTCAGTTTTGATGGTTCCTTACCTTTTCAGATGCAACTGGTTGAAAATTTGCAACTGGTTTGGATAAAGCTTGAAGCTTCAGCTGATCACAATACAAGAGGAGAAATAGAGCAAAGTTTGATAAAGTCTGGAGTTGTTACTAAAGATGGGGAGTGAGTAGTTGGATTTTCTTATTGCTCAAGCTGTGTTGAGCATAACAGCTTCCATAATCAGAAATTCAGAATGACTGACAAAATTTGCCCATCCCTCAGGAGAATTTACTTCTGCACAAAAAATGGATCACTGTTAGAACTTGCAGAGGTTGAACCTCTGAGGTACGCCACAAATTTCTGTTATAAATTCAATACTTGTACATCTATGAACTATATATATGATCAGTGTAGAATTTGCTTGAACTTCCTGTTCACGAACAGAAATTTCTAAAGCTGATGTTGAATGTGTCACTGATGATATTTACATGTTCTGTTTTGTGAACACAAACAGGTGGGTTAATTATGGGCAGCCACCAGGAGCAGATGTTGCAGCAATAGCCGATGTTGGTACAATCAGATCAAACCTTATATTCACAATCAGGTGAGCTAATAAAAGTGCAAACAAACACTCCATGTGTCTCCAAAAAATGTCCCTTCAGTACTCAGGAGCAAATATCCATAAATTGAATTTTATTTTTATCTGCTATTCTTTCCAGCAACTTCCTACCTAAATCTGCATAGATAGTGACTAAATACAAAGAATTGATGAAAATTGTGAAACATATGATATGAAATTTGCATACCATAGTTCGGCAGGAGACCTTTACGAGCATGATAAAAATACAAAACCACCATGGAAGAAGCACGTATGGAAAGAAGGGTCAGCAGAAGATACTTCCTTGCTACCATCAAGAGGTTGCAGTGCTCAAGGACTAGGAGGAGCGTCTTCAATATCACTGTTTCTGCTGAACAAGGTGTGGTAACCTCAAACATGACAAGAGTGCACATTTTCTCCACCAAGAATTAGTTGTCATGAACTCATGATGTCACAACTGATTTTACAAAAGCACACTATATTAGAAGTAAATAAGACAAATAGTAGTATTATTTCTGTCACAACATATTAGAAACCACAATTCATAAATCAATTACGTTTTTAGGAAAGATCTCTTACATATTCACATTGATTCCACACAGAACAATTATGTTATACAGAATACTTCATTAATTCCCCTTCTACACACACGCGCACACACACACAAAAATGTTCATCGCAGATGTTTTAGTCTCAGGGCTAAGATTTTCAACACTGCATCCTCAGGTCTTATCTTCTCACTGTAGCTATTCCTTTATCTGCATATGCAGGCGGGTAAGCTGGTTGAGAGGCGACTGAACCAGAGAAAATGGAAATGGATAGTACATGGGAGTCCAGAAGATCAACTCCTAACATCAATCACACCAGTTCCAGAAGATGAATCCAGTGAGAAGTATTCAGTGCTCCTGACAACTGCATCAGGCTCAATACTGGAATATCAAGCAGGAAAACAAACACGTAAACAATCAGGAAAAACAGAATAGAGCTCTCTACAGTTTAGAATTTTCACCAATTTTAACACAGAATTCCTCTTTAATATGATAATTCAAGTTATATAACAGCAATTTAGAGCTATAGACAATGCTTATATGAGATGTAGCATAGAATAGAGGTTAGTATAGGTATAAAATTTTAATATGAAAGAAATCATAGCCTCTACAAGGAAATTTGTCCTTATAATGCCTAAAGGAGTCCGTCTTGATGAAAATCTGATATAACACACCTTCCATCCAGAGTTAATAATCACATTGTCTCAAACCCTCCTAATCTAAGATATGACAAGATTTTAGAAAAAGACATGTTTATAATTGGGTCACTCCTATCCTCTCCCATCAATTAGTATTAATAGTGGAAATATCATTAACAATTAGTGTATGTAATAAGAAAAATAAAGTTAATCAGGAGATCCTAAAAGAGTATACTATGTAAGTGACTTTTATTCTGAAGTCTGGACAGAGGGAGTAATAAACTGGATGATCAATTGCATGGAGTCCATCAAGATTCTAGGGAGCTTGTACGAGAGATATTTCCTAAATCATTATGCATTTATCGGCCTTTAATCTCTAATACATTGAAAAAAAACATATATATAAACAAGGGAACTGATGTTTATTTTTGTGTCCTGATAGGAGTGGCTCAAGAGTACCAACTAGAAGAGCCATGGGTAAATCATATGCATCCCCCACATGCAAAGGTAGCAAGAGGTGTAGAAGGGATACCATATCAACTTGGTAGGATCCTTTTCCCACTAGATGACGGCAGGATTGCAGAACTACATCTATCAGGTTTAGGCGGTGAATATTCAGGACCAAATCCTCAAATCAGTACCCGTAAAAGATTGTCATTGAAGTATGTTTGGTCAATATTAGATGCCCCTGAGACTGAAGGATGGAATGCAGAGTATTGTACTGAGGACCGTGGACCCTCCAATTGCATAATGGGTGTAAAGGATGAAACAAATGATTTCACAAACACAAGAAGTATGACAAGAAGGCGAAAGGGAATGCAACAGAACTACTTAATCCCCGATATGTCAGGCATCAAACTAGAAAAACCATTGGAAGAGCATAAATTGGAAGAGAATTGGGTGAATGTAAACTTTGGCATGAGAGTGATACAAGGAGGTAGATCATTTTTCCTGGTGTCAAGTAGTGGCCTGACTTTTGAGTATCTTTACAATGACAACATAGGACTATGGCTGAAGCATGACCACCCAACAGCCATGCAGGGTGCAGTTGGGAGCTATAATGGGAGTCTGTTCTTAGTTGACATCCACGGTACTTTGCTAATCAGAGAGAGAAGCAACAACGAGTTGCAGTGGATAAATTGTACTGCCATGAAGAAAGGGAAAGAGATAATTGGTGGCCCTCCATGGGACAGGATCCACGGTACAGGAAAGAAAGTTACGGCAAATGATGCAATTTATTTTGTAAGCAAGAAGGGAACACTACTGCAGTTCACTGTAAGTTGTGAAGCACTAAAATGCAAGATACTAATGTTTGCTCAATTGCATTTTCCAATTGGAAACAATCACTGTTTTTTCCTGTTGCTTTGAAGCTTAGAGGCATAACTATATGTTTATTTCTTATTAGTCATTGCCGTCAAAAATAAAACTAAAATAAGCATTCTAAATGCTTTCCCAGTGACAAAATAATGAAACCTAAACTACAGAGTTCAAATTAACTACATCTTGTCATCCTCTATCCAGGGATAACAGTCACATAGTATTTGAGGATGTCCAGTGGATTGTCACGTTTCCTAAAGTAGTACTTGTTTGTTATTGGCTTTCACAAATCCCTAAAAAAGGTTGAAGATAATGAGAGTGGGAAAATCCAACTAATTAGATTGAAATTCTTTAGTAAGTGCTTCCCTTTACAGGCTGGAACAATGTGAATTGATCTCCTCTCATTATGCCTCCCTAAACAAGGTTGCCAATATTTTTTAACAGCGGAGTTTATCTGAGAGACTAACGGCAGACACTATTGTCTAGGTTGCTCTCAGGAGTTTTAAATGGAAAGACTGCAAAAGCCCTGCAGATACAGAGATTGCAACAATAGTAGACCAAGAAGTGTGCAGGGACAAGGTAATTTTTGTCATCGGAAGGAATGGAAGATTGTATCAATATAATAGATTGTCTGGATTATGGCATGAACATTATCAATCTCAGCACCTAGTTCTCTCAAGATTGCCCGGGACAGCTATGAGGCCATCAACACTATCTTTGGAGGGCTCTCTTTTCATGATTTCAGGAGATGGTGGACTAGTAGAATATCAATGGAACTCACTTGATGGATGGGTATGGGTTGAACATGGCACCCCAAATGGGGTGAGAATAGCTGGAGCGCCTGGGCCAGGCTTTGAGGGTCATCAGTTGTTCTTAGTTGGCTCAGACGGGAAAGTTTACCTAAGGCACTTCAACCAAGGAGAATGGAAGTGGAGAAACTGTGGATTTCCAGATTCAGAAAATACACCAGTTGAACAAGAAAGAGAGGAAAAGCTGAAGCATTGGAAAGAAAAAGGCATTTGTTTCGATACTGCTAGTGTGGACAGTGCAGAAGAGCCCAAACTAAGAAAGACAAACCAAAACTGTGATCCTAAGGTGAGTTTCAGATGTACTTATTAACTCTATTGCACAATTTAAACTGCTATGATAAGTTGATAACTGATATTGTGATATGTGAATCATCTGACCGTAGGTGGCATCAACAAGGCCAATTCGTTCAGCAGAAAATAAAGTAATATTTGAGCTAAGAGATGGCAGAGTAAGCATTTAATCACAAAGATATCATTTCTTTACCTTTGTAAATTATTCAATAATTGCAAAATAACCATGACACAATTAACGTTTAAGGTAGAAATTTCAATGGTTTCCATTGTATAAGGAAAAGTTTTAAGACAGAAAATTCAATGGTTTCCATTGCATAAAATTGAAGCATATAGACTGTGAATCTCGTAAAAAAGCTATATTGCTCACTAACAGTCGTAGCTAATTGCTCACCTTGTCATATGACAGTTGGCAGAGATGCATCAAGTGAAGGCATCCGATTGGATATGGTCAAAAATAATTGCAACTCCCACAAGCCTATGTACGGAAAATTTCTGGGCTGCTGCTGCATCATGAAGCTGGAAGATACAGATAGAAAAAGCACCTTAAAGATTGTAGCAAGCATACAATGCAGAAGCACAGAAGCTAGGAGATACTGAAATATACCATAGTAACCATACTGTACATAGTAAAGCAATGACACCAAACTTTTTACCCTCAATCTAGCGCAGCAGGACAAGATGCAGCTTAGAAGCCTGATGCCTTAAGCTACAAGAGCCTTGCCTGTAAAATTGTCTTCAATATTCACTGTACAGTTTCATACAAAGTTAGACACTTCATTTTCTTTCTTTCTTGTAAAATTGTCGCTATTGTATTTCTAATATTAAAAGCAGAAACTTCAACAATATCAGAATATAGATGCAATGAAAACTGGTGGACTGAGTCAAATAAATTCAGAATTCTACTGATGTACTCTATAACCACATGGTTATAGTTGTGCGTATGTCATTATCGTCTCAATAATCATATGATTACGACACATCTAGAATCGAATCGTGATGTTGGCAAGAGGCCAAACCTACTGCTGAACCCCCATCTGCAAGAAGAATAATAAATCATTAGTTTTCTATTAATTGAGAGACAAGTACATTTGCATTATATGTTAATAGATAGTATAGATAGTTGCTGATCTCTAAATAGAAAAGGACATATGGATGAGATACACAGTGGGACAAGATGGGAAATCCACAACATGTTCTACAATGCTACCCCTATATGAATTAATTAATTCCTAATCTCCATTGATCGCGGCTTCTACTACCGCGATTAATTTTCTCAAGAGAAAGTACTACGTCATAACCAAATTTCACCAAATCAACACTCCAAAGAAACTTTCTTCTTCCATGTCTCAAAATTTTGTCAAGAAAATTAACATTAATTATTGGACATACACATTAATGTTTAGCTTAATTATGACGTGTAGTCATGAGTTATCTTTGTATCATATCTCAATTATAGTCAATGAATCAAGGTAAACCAATCTAGTAAGAAACAACTTTTAGAGCTTCTTTGTTCTTTCTAACAAGTCAAGCTTCTTACATTATTACTCCTCAATTTTAATTCAAAAATCGTCAATAAAGAGAAAGTCTAAGTTAATATCCGATATTGATCAATCTTAATCTCACACCCCGTCAGCAAATCCCAACTCTATAATAATCACAAGCTCATTGAAAAAAAATCCACATCCTCCTCATCATCTTCTTCCTTATCCCTCTTCTCCAAATGGATGAAGAAGAACTAGAATCATTAGAATTCAACAACCTTCCAAAAGACATAATTTTCGACATTTTATCAAGAATCCCATTAAAACAGCTCTATCAATTACGCTGTGTTTGTAAGAAATGGCTATTTTATCTATATCAAAACCCAGAATTCAGAGGTTTTTACCATAAAAAACACAAAATCAACCCAATTTTACTCTTCACTAAACAAATCATTGAAAACCCATCAACCCAATTATCTTCCTACTATATTGATGGAACCCCAATTACTCAAATTTCAACCAATTTTGATCAATCATTAGTTTCAACCCTAACCTGCAATGGAATCCTCTGTTTAATCACAAAAACCAATGCATTTCTCTATGATCCCATTACCATGAGAATCACTAATCTCCCTAATTCAAACCGTCGTCGTTTCGATTCATCATTTGGGTGGGCATTTGGGTTTTCCTCGTTTCGAAACGTTTTCAAAATCCTCCATTTTTACACCATTGAAAAGAAATCTGACAATTTTCATTACTGTCAAACTCAGGAAATAATGTGTGAAATTCTGAGCAAACCCAGTTCAGATCTCGGGTTCGAATCACAAGACGAGTGGAATAATCTTGGTATTTGCCCATTTGATTTTCTGGGTAGAAAAAATTATGCATTTGTTGATGGGAAATTTTACTGGTTAATTGGGGAAAAGAAATTCAACCCAGAAAACATAAAGATCATGTCTTTTGACATTGAAATGGAGGGTTTTGGGTTGAATTATTTCCCCAAATCATGCTCAAATCGTTCAGTTGAATGCTTGGATTTGGTTGAAATTAGGGATTTCCTGTGTTTAACAGATAGATTACCTTGGGAATCGAGCATGGATATTTGGATGATGGAGAAAGAAAACAAGGGTTTTCCTAATTTTTGGGTAAAGAAATATAAAATTGATCTTATGGGAATTAATCATCATGATGTAAGAATTTTGGGCCATTTAATTAAAATCAACGGTGGAGATTGTGAGAGTGAAGGAAAGATTATGATAAAATTTGGTAGTCAAAGTTTTGGGTTTTATGAGCTTGATAATGAGGTTTTCACAAATTTGGCGGGTGAAATTAATTCTGAAGGATGGGATTTACCGTTGATGATTAACAGAAAGTTTCTATTATAGGAAGTGGTTGTCTAATTTTGTACTGTAGCTTCCATTTTCCGAGAATAGAATATACAAGTAGTTAAGATTTTTCTTGTCAAAATTTCGAGATATTTTTAGCATCGAGATTTTTGCCTATAAAATTGGTATATACTGTGTACAATACAAAGATGTACAAAGTGAAATTGTTTCTTTGAAACTGTCTATCTTTTAATTATTTTTTCGAAATGACTTTGAAGCTATCTAAGTATTTAGCACATTATTAAGATTTGAGAGTTTACTTATACGGTTATACTATACATAGTGGAGCCATCAAACAAGCATTCTTTCTAGATGTTCACTCAATTCATTGAAAACTATTAAAGCAAATTTGTCTTTATATCGTAACAAATTGGTTTAGAATTTCGTGGCATACACATTTTCCACATGTATGTATACTCAATTCATTGATAACATACTACTATTTGATAGAGAGCAGATTACTACTTAAACAGTTTTACGCTCATCTGCATCAATTAAAATCATTGAGCAAAGAATGTATGTCATTTAAGAACAGTAGAGCACTTGCAATGTCATTAAAGAACACTAGCATACGTTTTCAAAGGAGGCTTTATAACTTTGTAGATATAAATTGACTCAAAATTCATTAAGGCCACACCTCTTCAAAGAGTACACTACTTATAACTACATTTGATGTTGAAACTTGAATTCCCATGAAAGTGGACTCTCAAGCCCTGAAGCCAACTTGGGTGGAAAGTTGTACTCTGTATATCAACTAGAATCACCTCACTTGTAAATACCCCATTACGGGTAGCAGCTTACCTGCTTATTACAAAATACAGTAAGAAACAAAGATCAACAATCGAATTCGTTTAAAACCCATCCACATCATGCCAATAAGCTTGGATAACGAGAGAACAAGAATTATATACTCATTACCAGCCGCCATCATTAGGCAAATAGATATTGGCTTGGTCTGTAGAGCTTCAGAAATTTCATATCAGAGATTCAGAGCATTAGATCCTTTTTTGGGGTGGGGAAAGGGAAAACACACATTAGTTAAAAGAATAATAACCATACAAATTCCACAAATATAAAATTAGTAGTCATACGGCTAAAAACCTAGATCAATACAAGTAAGAAATAGTGTACACTCAACATTGAGAAAATGATATCCAAACCGCCACTCTTCCATAATTGAGAATTCATTAACAAAAGCATGTATAAGGATGAATCATTCAGTAAACAAATACTCGTACACACTAATGCCTCACTATCATGGCCAAAAAAAAAAGTAGCTCCACCACATGCCTTGAACTCGAAATCAGGTGAGGTATCCACAACTTCCAAAAGCAACAAACAGATTTAATATCGTCTTCTAGGACTCCTTGATCGGTGACCGCGAGGGGATCTGCATTAATAAATAAAAACTTGTCAAACATGTGGAGGCAAAAGCATCTATAATAGGAGTGTAAAACAGCTGATTAGCAAAAAGTGCAATACAGATTATCTAGATATATCCACTCATGAAGTTGTTCATAGCAACTGAGGAACTAGTGCAGTGCTTAAACAAAGTGATAGAAGAACAATGTAACAGTTGATAAGTTAATTAGATTTTTTTAGTTAAAAAGAACAGTCAAAAAGAGATGCTACAACCAGTAGTTACTCTAGAAAGTAAAATAATTAGGTACCAAACGGAGCTGGAAAGCCAATGAAGTAGCCATAGTATGAAACCAAGAAATCCCAACACTTAATAACTGTCAAAACTTATAAAGACAAACCTTCTACGGTTGCCCCTCCTCTTGTAAGGCCCATTACTGAAAGCCCAATCAACGTTTATCGGCTGCTCAAGCATTTGGGCACCACTCATCTCCTTTATTGCAGCTTGTGCTTCTTCATATTTCCCATACTCAACCAGGGCATAACCCTAAAGATAAACATCAAACAAGAGGAAAATATTATATGAGGAAACCAAACCAAAAACTGGAACATAAAAGGTGATGAAACAATAGCTAAACATTTTTTTAAAAGAATACTAGAATAGAGAACGAAGCTAAAAGCAGATTTCCAACACCTCCACAGAACTAGCAACACAACCACCTCAAAACCCCCAAGAGCTTTGTATAGAGTTGTGGAACATTGCTATTTTCCACAAACCAGGTAGAGCAAAAAAAAAGCTGATCTTCCCAAAAAAAAAAAAAAAAAAAAAGAAAAGAAGCTGATCCTTTCTTTAGTAGGATTTGACAGATTTATATCAATAAACAGAGCTTGGGGAAGGGAAGTGCCCAATAAGCCATTTACAGACTAGTGTGTCAAACACAAGCCACAGAGAAGCATCACAGCCAACCAGGACAATAAGCATACATACAGAATCGCACATTTGCAGACCACCCCCCACTATCCACTTATTCAGTGTAGGCAGCTGAAATAGCTGTATCATTTGCAGAAAGATGAACCTTTTGAAGTCTGTTCAAAAATTGACTCACAAATTAGGTGCTTCTATTCATTTCAAAAAGGAAATAATTACTTCGCATTAGCTCAGAATACCTTCCAATTATATCAAAACCAAGTCACCAAAATTCTTCGGACCCCCACAGCTTCCCATGCCTAAGGGCTTAAACCAAGATCAAAGCAACATCATAGCTCAAGCCTATATTAGACTTATGCAATTCAACAATCTGACTAGTTGAATTATAGTTTTCATACACAATGCATCACAAGCATTAACCTTTTCTTTATTTTATTTTTTTTGTCTGTGTGTGTGGGGGTGGGTGGATAGAACATAGAGCTCCACAGAAATGTTTGCTACAGAGGCCTTAACAATCCAACTGTCCAACAGTCTTTCTTTGCATGCACCTCTAATAAATTACTTACAAGTGTAATTGAAGTTTTATGTTGCTGTTGTCCATAAGGTCTCTCATCACTAAAGCTTTCTCAAGTGCCCTCCAAGTCACATCATGGATCTTTCCCAAATATAAATGGCGGAATAAGCAATGTGCAAGCTTAAAATAAGACAAAACATAACATCATCAAACAAAAAAAGGCTTCTTCTCCCTGTGCTTAAGCACACATCCTTCACATAAACCTACACCCTCAATCACCTACAAATCATATTGCATAACATATTGTCCAACTGGCCCCAACCTTTAAAACTCGCCAAATTGAAATAAACTACAGCAAAACTACATTTGTTTAATCAAGAGAGATAGGGTACATACATAACTCAGGAATTTCACCAAATAATTAATCCTCAAATGCAGCAATCAAAACAGTTTTTTGTCATCAATCCCCATCAAGCCAAACCAAAAAAATCTTCTGAACAAGCCACGCTACACATTGCACCAGGAATGTATAATAAGTGGAGCGGAAGAAAAGTTTGACACCAATTATAAATCCCTTCCTCAGAAACTTCAGTTACCGCCAAAATCCTCCAAATTGTCCAATCATTCATCACGATATTTCATCCTCTGATCTCTAAATTCTAAGGGACATGTAACCCCTTCCTCTCTTCATTCTAAAAGGAACCACAGACTTTACTAGATCCTATGACAAACAGCGCCACCAATATTCCTTGACAATAGATATAGTCTTGAACCATACCAATTATTATGCTAGACCAAATCAACAAAACTAATCATAACCAGACATAATAAAATGGACAGCAGACATTCAAGCAATAATCATTTCTGAATTCAGTTTCAGAATCAGTATAAGAAAGAAAAACGCATCAAATCAAAACGACCAATACACTTTTAAGAGAGAATAACTATCGCACCTTGACAAATCCAGTACGGCGATCCAGATTCAAATGCAAGTTCTTAATCTCACCGAAATCTCCAAAGACATTAAGGAGATCTTCTTCCTGTGCCTCTTCATGCACTCCTGTGACGAGTACAATCCAGCCTTCGATTGCTGCAATGAAGGAAATTTGTTAGAATTTTGCTTGAAGAAATTTTAATAAAAAAAATTCATAAAACAAGAAAACCAAAATTCATTTCAGCTTCAAGACCTTTAACAACAAACAAAGAGACCAGGATAAATAGAAATCCACAACCACAAACTATCAGCAGTACATGAGAAAGTAAATCAAACAAAACTCTAGGCGATCAACTGATCAAGGAAAGATAAGCTCGTCCACTTTTATAACTACTAATTTCACTAAGGATCAATATGTTATATGGAGTAATTTACCATTAGGAAATTTGTTCATACTTCTGGAAAGTCGAAGTTTTTTTTTTTCTTTCTAACCAATTTTCCATCCCCAAATCTCTCTTTATTACCCACTTGTAATGATCTTTACCTTCCCCTACCTATTCTTTTCTCAGTTAATTCAAAAAACTAAGAAAAATTATGGAGTAAATTTTAACTCGTGATGATTTGGTTTCTGATTCTTCTCGCTTAAATAGTGTTCAAGAGTTGTAAAGCATATAGGGATCAACCATTATGAAAACAATTAGAACAAAAAAATTCGGGACATCCAAAATACACAATCAATCCTAACTCTAAACCATAATTCAAAAGTCACAATTGCCTCCGTAAATGAATCTAAACTTACCAAAACATCTAATCAGAGTGGAGAAATATAAGAAAGTCGTAACTGTACTAAAAGTAAGAGACAGAAGAAATCTGATCTTCTATATATCCAAGCTGGAGGTTTTTGTTAAGAATCAGATTAAGCAGCACAAAACAATGAGGTCAATAAACTGGTTGAAAAACCTACATGTCCTTAACTATCAACACTGAGTTTCGTGGTCTCAGTACAGCAAAAAACTTTTACCATGCAACAAGAATTGGCAGATGGTTACTATGTACTTAATGCAGGAGAGTGGAAAAAAACATAGTTGGATCCATGACATCAGGCTTTCAATAAGTCATCTTTTTACAGCCAGCTACAAACATATGCTTCTCCAAAAGCTCAACTATACGAAAATTAAGTCCCCAAGTGAGAATAACCTTGTTAAACAATGCAACCAAAGAAGTAGACTAATGGCTCTTAAAACACTTTAAATGTACTAATTGCAGTTCTTCGTCAAAAATCCCAAATTATGTCAGAGAAAGGAATTCACAGGACAGCACAATGAATATATGCACCCTTATACCATGTTGCATGACTTGGCGAGATCCCAAAATTACACGTGCAAAGGTAAATGCCAATTCTTTCTGGGAGTGCAAGGGTTAGATATGAAAATATCTATGAGTGTTGGATAATGAAAGAAGGGTTTCTAAGTAGTTGCTCCATCATCAAGAGTAAATGTATTGATTCTTTCAAAATAAAATAAAAATTAAAAAAGAAATTAAAAATAAGAGTAAATGTATTGATAAAACTCACCTAAACATTTAAAATAAGAAAGTCGATCATAAACTTATACAGATATACCATAATACTACAAAACCAGTTTTATCCATAATCATATGAGACATCAAAAAAAAATTGAAATCTCAACATTGATGCAACTTCCATACAAGGCCAAGATATTACATTTGGTTAATCTAATAAGAAAGTCCATGAAGAAAGTAAAAATAGAAAGTAATCAATAATTAGCTTGTCAGATCTTTACCACATTATTGTTCATATCAGGAGCAGCCTAAAAACCCTTAACACATTAACAGCCAACACCAGTAGACAAGCAAGAGGTAAACCTTCCACCAAGATTAAACAGAAAAAGAAACTTGAAGGTGCTAAAATCAATGAAGGAATTCAGCCAAAGATGATGAACTTAAAAGGCCAAAGATGAAGGAATTACAAGTAACAGACTCACAGTCAGACCTCAGGCTACAACGTTTTAAAAATGGTTTATAATCTGTAGTTCACTGAAAAGTAAAAACTAAGTATTAACCAATTGGTTTTTCAACCTTAAACTACAATTCAAGCTGCACCATTCAATCACCAACGGTAACAGTGAATAAACTCCACTCAATCAAGACTATAAGATGCACTCTTGTAAGACACAGAAAAAACAACAACCATTTTATACTCGTACGATGTTCAACCGCCTACTTCCTCCACTAATATCAATCAATCACAACCTTACCCAAAATACAAACTAAAAATCTATCTCCAAAACCCTGGCAGTTCAAAACAAATACAGTTGATATCGAAAAATGCTAGCTTAGAAGTTAGCAGTTTTCCAAAAGAGCTAACTTGCTACGTTTGGTACCAAACCCGAAACCCTATACTTTGACAACTCGTAACCTAAACCTTAATTCATCAGCAACATTCAATTAGCACTCAATCGACACTAGTATACATTACAGTTTACAACTTAGCACACAAATATCTAAACATCCCCAATTACCACTTAATTCCACCATAAATTCAACAAATCACAACCTAATTCCCCAATTACACAACAACAACAAAAAAACATCGATTCCCAAAACCCTAACAATCATAAACAAATTCAATCAACTAAAACCCTAACAACAACTATCAAAACCCGAAAACAACAATAAACACAAATAAATTGAACAAATTAGCAAAATCAGAGAGAAGAAAACTAACAGCGAGCGGGACCAGGTCCACCATCAGAATCAAGAGATTCAAATTCACGAGCAGCCATACGACTATTACGCTCAGCATCAGCTTCTTCACGAAAACCACGACCTTTCGTCTTCTTGACGAATCCAGCAGCGGAGCCGCCAGCAATGGCGGATTTGAGCTTGGGATGCGAAGCCCTAGGAGAGCCGTCGACGTCACCGGCGCCGCCATCTTCGTCCATGAGATCGTCTTCCTCTGGTTCGAAGTCGACTGCTTCAACGTCTGGTGCCGCCATTGTTAGAGCTTCGAGTAGTTGATTTTCTCTCTCCTCGGTTTTACTGGTTTTTGTTTAAGCCGAAGTTGTGTTTTTGAGGAGGGGATTGTGGGAAGATTAGAAGAAGAGAAGGTTGTTGTGTTGGGATGGGCTGGGATGGGTTGTGAATATGGGCTTTTAATGGTTGGGCTTTATTGTTTTATCTCCTAATGAGCATTGGATAAGGTTGAAAAACTTGGAATATCTCAATTAAACACATGGTTTATGGTTTTAGGCCTTTAGGGTATGTTCTCTTTAATTTATTTTCAGATCAGTTCAGTTCAATTAAGCTTCAATAAGTTCAATTCGATTTAGTTCAGTTCAATTTTTCATTTCCTTCTGTCATAAAATATTCAATTGAGCTCTGTTCTGTAAATCAGAACAGGCCCTTAGTGCTTTGGATGCCTAATTTTTCAACTTTGACCTAATTAATAATTTTATAAGTATGTGACTCGTGCACAATAATATTTTATTATTTGAATTTCTAAATATAATCTCAGTAATGAAAATTAGCAAACAACATTGAAAATAATTAAAAAAATTCATAGTCAAGAGTTCAAATTTGTGTGTCAATATGGCATGATGTACAAGAGAGATGTCACATAACACATATGCTTTCTTAAAGTGAGTAAGCTGCTATGTATGAAATTTGACAATACAAAATCTGAAGTCGTCAAAATGGTATGTAGTCCAATTCTCCAAGGCTAAGCTACTACTGATTTCACTTATATGAGTTATATCACAAACTCTCTTTGCACTTGCTACATTATGTTGTAGCCTTTTGTTGGTGCTGACTTTCCAATATTCAAGGCTTTTCTACTACCTCTTGGGCTCTTGGTGCATGCCATTGTTATCGATCACTGTCCATCCTTGTGGTTGTATAAAGAATATACTATCCTTTGGTTCAACATGAAACCCTCCAAGCATGCATAATTGTTCCAACGTCATTCTTGTATTTCATTTGAATCTATGTCACAAACTCTTTATTTCACTTAATTTAGTCTTCATAAATATCAACACCTTTACCTCACAACATGGGGCACATGCCGTCACACTAGTACCCAACTCTTTATGTAATAAATATTTGAATTGTCATCATATCTCCTACAAAATTCATGAGAAAATCACGTAAAATACCAATAAATCTGCTTTCTATTAGAAAGCTGACATTTGCTCGGATTACATGAAACTCCATGAGAAGTACAATGAATTGGCACATGATGAAACTTTCACCAAGCAAATTATGAAACCTAAATTTAAACTTGGAGGGAGATGGGGAGGGACCTATTGTAAGCTCATAAAATGGACCCATGTCAACTAGGAGGAAATGGCATGTATTTTTTGCGGGAGACAATGATACGGAACAAACACAAAGTATCTTATTTTAGATTTGCATTGAAAGTGATATTGACTATGGCTCATCAATGCAATGTTAAAAATCTACTTTGTAGTATATTGGACAAACTATGAGTGATATATTATACTATACATACAATTATTTATTCTCGTTTTATTCATAAATTATTAATTATACTTGTATTTGATAGACTTTATGTCACGAAACATGTTCTCTTCATTTTAATTCCAACATTTTTAGCTTCACCTGGCCTTGTCAAGTATAGACTAAATCTATTATGATCAGAATAATTTGTTTGCTTGTTCCTACTATATCTAAAATATATTAAGTAATAATATAACAATATCCCACCTTGGTATAAAATTTTCTTTTGTGCAAAAATACAGTCAGTGTTTTATTGTATTTGTTAACGGACCATCTCAACCAAACCACTTGAAAGTAGGGGGAAAGTGAGGGGTGGATGAGATTCGAACTTGTAATATTTGTATTACGTTGACCCTGATACCATGTTAATGGACCATTTCAACCAAAAGCTTAATTTGATGGTTGAAGTCTATAAATATGTTTTATACTCTATTAGTATCGACATTAGACCGACCCTAGAAGATCCAGTCCAAACCTAACTATAAACCAGAATAGGAAGAGATGAAATCCTTACTTCTAACAGAATGACAACCACCCATTCACGAGATTTTCACTTGAAAAGTGAGATTTTTGATTTGTTGATTGGATTACATGTGCATGCATATATACAAACATCATAGTCTCCCAGATAAGACTCATAAGAGTAGTAATTATCCGATACTATAAGACAATAGTGGAGTTAGTAACTGTTGGATTTTTATGTTTCATAGACTCACACTTTAGCAAAATTGCCCCCACAACCCACTTCTCCATAGACTGGTTGTTGTGGGAAGGGAAATTGAAACTAGGTTATGTCTTAATTAGGAAATTATGCACTAATCTATTCTTTAACATTTTAAGAACGTTTACTTTTAGTATGTCATTTAAAATATATACTATGTTAATTATAAACTCGATAAGAAGGTCCGGACAATTAACTTTTGGTATTAAAACTTATGGTTCAAATGATAAATTTATTACAGTAGTCTGTAAAGTTATTGATTTTTACTGAATCGAACCGGACTTACTATGTTGGAGCTGTTATGAAGCTGAGAAAGTAGAATAAGTTGGCCTGGGTTAAAGCCCAGTGATGTGGGCCATAAAATGGATTGAGATGTTTCTGTTTAGCATTAGGCCAGTGTTTGGGCTTTTTCGTGTAGGCCCCTGAAATCATATTCAACTGGGCAATCAAATTATGGACCCACATGCAATTAAGGAATTCCCAGAGGTAGTTAGGTAATTTTTGCCCACAATTGGCTTCATTAACTTGACTTGCTTCTTTCCCGTCAAAAAAAAAAAAAAAAAAAAAAAAACTTGACTTGCTTCTTTCCATTCAAACTTTTAAGTTATTTTTTTTATGTAAAAAACAAAATACCTCTTTGTATACAAGCAATAATTGCTACAAAATTGTAGGGTGACTTCTTGAACTCTATGAGGAGTATTCTTTCAAAAAAAAAAAAAAAAAAACTCTATGAGAAGTGTGATAACAAATTATAAACGATGACGAATTTTAAAAGATAAATGTACTCGTATGAAAAATGTGTAGCGGGTAATATAAGATGGGGCAAACGGGGTGTAATTATGTTCACCTGTGGAATGCCACAAAATTTGTGGAGGCAATTAAGAATAAGGCTCCTAAGATTGACTGCATGTCCAATTGGTCATGTAGACCATACTATGATACTAGGATAAAAGCCACTCTCATGAAAGTCCATGGCCTAACTAGTTAGTCAAAGAGAAATCATGATAGTAAAATAAGACGAGTAGAATATATTTCAGGATATCTCAATAGCATTTGTTATTGAAAACTATCATAAATATTAGTATTATCAAGGGCATAAGTGGCGATTGAAATAGTTGTTTGTATGAATAGTACGTCCACAGTTACATATTGTACCTTAAAAGGTACACATCATCAATATAGATAACAAAATCTCTATTAGTAGTTAGTTACCTGCTTGCTAACTTGAATATTGTCACGGAGTAATACATATAGCGCTATCGAATAATTCATTTTCAAAATCAATGTAACTTAAATCAGATCAAATCATGTGAATTAGTTTAAGCCACTAAACATTATGGATAAGCCAATAAGTGAGCTAATTAGTGATTATGCCTGGAATATACTTGGTTTATAAAGAAACATTAAACATGCCCTTTGATTAAAAGGATAGTTTGACCCACCTATTTTCATCCCTACACACAAAATTAGTGAGGGAATTTCAATGTCCCCTCACCCTCGTGCTTATTTGTCACTACATCCATGCTTTATACTATACTTTTCTGATCCCCTCTTATTTACTACCGTCCGATTGGATTTTTCAAACCAAATCAATGGTGTAGATTATAGATGACCGTTGTTATTAGATTTATAGCAACAACACCAAATCTTAAATTATTTTGGGTTTGGGTTTAGGGGATTGCAAAGGAATGTCAAATCAATACTTTCTCCGTCCCCATTTGCTTATTCCTAAAGTGGTTTTCTAATTTGAGTTAATTTTTGATTTGTGAGGTTAATGATAAGATTAAAAGCATTTTGACAATATATCATGATTCTTCCTAAATATGTATCGTATATATACATTTCGTAAGTCCGTATAATATGAGTATTGGACAGTCTTTAATTCTTTATAGACGACCGAATAAATAAAGTCCTGTTTTTCTAAACTTGTGGGCAAATAAAGTAACAGTTGTCAACAAAACAGATTAAATCTTTCCTAAAAAAAATAATAATAAATAAATCAGCAAAATAAGAAAATTGCAATTCAAAATAACAAGGCCTAAACTCCTAAAGTAATTAAAAAGAAAATGCATGACAAAGTACGGTAAGGTTAATTATGTCAGATATTTGGGTGATCTTGGGAAGTGTATATTATCAGTATTTTATGCATTTATATAATTTATTTATAATTTTTTAATATTCTGCATATATACACTCCGTAGAAGGTTAAAATAGTGATTTTCGCACGTGATGCCAAAAAGGGGCGTGCTCATCACTTGCCACTTTATTTAAAATCCACTTTTTTTTTTGAGAAAAACAGGGGGATATTATTTTACGATACTCCTATTTTATTTTCTGATTTTTACTGACAATATTAACATGACCCTTTGCCCTTTGGTTTATTTTATTCTTTGGTTTGGATAATGATTAATGATACGGCGTATTCCGTATTTGGTTTGGTTGACCGTGACTAAGCTAAATACTTCAAACAAAGGAATTGATATTAAAAATTTTGAATATCTATACTAAACAATTGGTTTAATGAAAAAGTTTACCCCTCTCAATTGAGATAGTGCAATCAAACCTCGGTTAAAAGGTACTTCAAAATAGAGGTGTCAATTCGGATAATCGGATGGAGTTTGGGTTGGGTCTATTCGGGTCGGGTCTGCTCGGGTCGGATATGTTCGGATCAAAATTATCCTTTTAACTCGGATCGGGTCAAATTCGGGTCATGGTCTATCAAGTCTAGGTCGGATACGAATCGGGTCAATTTCAGATCGATTCACTTTCGGTTCGGATATATTTGGATCGGGTTTAAAACGGGTTTAGCCGGGTAACTTCAGGTAGGATGAATTTGGGTCGGGTTGATTTCGGTTCGGTCAAATT